CATTTACTGCACTGCTACTGTATTGTCAATGATTAAATGTGAGCATGAACCTTCTGCTTTAACGGAATGATGGACCAGATTAAAACAAGGTATGAAGTGTTTTCTGATGTCCAACCAACACAATTCTTGCAACTTCTCCTACTGGGAAAGTCAAAAGATTTCAAAATGGCACCTTCTGCAAAAGAGCAGCATGTCCCCCAGGGGCCGCCTCTGCCCCCAGTGACATGACTGAACAGTATCAGCCCCTTTTTTTGGTTGGTTAATTTAAATTAAGCTTCAAAAAAACCAGCAGCAAACCCTACCAAGTTTGTGCAACAGAAGAAATGTTTATTGGGTATTCTTATCCCATCAGATTTAGGGGAACTGATTTGGTATTTACTTTTTATCTCCTTGTTGCAATGTAAGAGGTTTCCTTTTAAAAAAACACTTAAACAAAAGCCATCATAGTTTTTTCTGCAAACTTTTTAGAAGGCAGAAGGGAAGACCTGTGGGACAGGTTTAAATTTTATGTAATGTACACAAGGCGCAGAAATCACGTTAAATTTTTCACCAAACTACACTGCTCAAGAGACAGATTCTGTCTCTTCCATCTTGCCCTGAATTAGGTCATCTTACCCATACTCATAGGCTACAGCACAGAGCTGTGACTTTCAGAAAATATTTGCAAGAATTCTCTCCTGGTAGTCAGATAGTCACTGAGTTCAGCACAAGTTTATACCTTTCACATACACATCAGACTGTAGCATCATCCCTTGTTTAACACAATTAGACTGGATATCCAGGCTTTTGATCATTGTGTAGACTGAACTTATTCAACCACCAAATGCTCTATATTTGTTTTTCTTCTATTTTTTTACTGGACTGCTTCAATTCACAGATGTTTTTCTGGCAGTGAGGGGCCTGCAGTGGGATAGTATACTTAGAACAGGAATATTAAGCCACGCAGAGGAATTGCTGGCCATGAGCTTCCTGAACTGACATTGAACAACCCACAAAAAGCATTGAGAATAGCCATTTTCCTGACCCATTTGCACAGTTTACATGTTATCTTGAAGCACTGACCGCTGGCTAGAAGATTTCAAAGTTGCAGGATAAGCCTCAGAAAGTGATGCATCCAAATTCTAGCATAAGCAGAATCTGATGAGAAAATGCCTCACATTTAAAATACTCGACTATTTCAGAGTATTCTAAGTGCTATACTGAGCATATTTCCACTCTTTCTCATTTCATGCAGGGAGGTCAGGCTAGATGCATTTTAAGGAAGCAGGTCCAATTAGTTATTCACAAACAGATCCGGACCCTTCCCATCTTTGACATTATCCTCTCAGCCTCAATGCTCAAAACAAGATGCAACAGCAGGGCCTATCCAGTAGCAGCAAAGGTCATGTGTTTGCATTTATAATCCACTACAAATGCTTTGGACACTTAATGCTCCCAGCAGTGTAAACCTAAAACCTGCAACTAGTAGGCTAAAATGGTCATCTGATCTGGCAGCACTACCTGCCTTGTTGATTTGGGCTGCAGATTTTGTCTAGGGCCAAGCTGCCAATTGCTGCCTGCCTCAAGTTCACAAAAGCTGTAATATTTACATCTTTCCAAGTAGAAATACAATATAGGTATGCTTTTACCTGTGCTAATCTTGGTGGTGAATTTGGCAGATAGGATGCTTATGACAGGAAGAGTGCCATCAAGAGGATATAAAAAGCCTCTTTCTCACATGCTTATCAGTATGCTTGCTGCTGATCTATAGCATCCTTTGCATTTAAGGAGTAGGACTTTCTCAAGCTGATGAGAAAGCTGCAAGTATGCAGCTAATACTTGATGGTAGAGGCAACAGAGGAGCCAAGCAAACTGACAATCTCACTTCCATTTATAACTTTATTTTTCTCATTTCAATTTAGATCCTGGAAGTAATCAGCATTATTACTACTTGCATCCACTCAGTCCCCAAGCAGAGGCTAACCAACATATACTTTAAGAGATGGTCCTTGACTCATGAGTTTACAACTATAGGACATATCAAGTATGGAAGGCAGAAAGATAGAGTACTCCCACTTAACACATGAGCAAATATGGCATAAAGTTGTTAAGCGATTTGTTCCCAGATAAGCAGCTGGGATATTCATGCAAGTGCTTTCCTCTCAATACTACCTTTACAAGAAAAGGTACACACGGTGTTCCTGAAACTGTGCGCTCAGTGCTTCACAGTTAATTTGGAATGTCACCAGTTCATATAACCAGCTTAATCACAGCAAGTTCTCATGGATTATCCATGAGCTCCTGCTCAGAAGAAAAAAAAGAACAAAAGAAAGAAATAATGCAGCCAATTAAACTTTATCCTTTGAGTTTTCAAATGATGACTCAAGGAGGAAAAAAAATAGAATGAGTGTTTTTCTGTTAGAAGATTTCAGCATCAAGCTGTGTGCTAAGCCACAGCAATATGCTAAAATAAACAAAAGTATTTCTCTCAGAGTCCAGAGAAATTAACACAACCAAAAATATTTTTGGATTACTTTTCTGAGCCGTGAGTAAGATTTCCATGCAGCTAGTCTTAGTCTGCAAGGCTTGGTAGGTCCAGTAGGTCCATTAGGCTAAAGCTAAATTGCACTCATATTCTAGGGACAGGCTGTTAGAAGCATTTTGTTAGCAATAGCTGCAGCTTGAGGAGTCCCTTTCTGTCATGGCCTCTGTCTCTTGCATTTGCGTAAAGCCCTACTGAGCCCTGCTTCAGATTCCTCTCTGACAGTCAGTGGATAACATAAGAATGTACATACAGCAGATTAATTGGAAACACAGAGCAAATGTTACAGGTTAGTCAGCTAGTCAGATTTTCTCCCTTTTTTTTCTTTTTTTCACCCCTTTTTTTTTTTTTTATGATTTCCCTTCCTGACATCACTCATTTGCTCTCTGGAGATCACCAATGGCAGCTGCAGGGTCTGGTAGGAGAAGGGCAAAATAAGACTTCCAGAGGCTGACAAACAACTGGAATTATCAGGAAACTTGATGCCTTTGTCTAGGTTTTAATCAGATTATGCAGCGACCACTTGTAAACTGAAATGGACTCTGCAACATCAAGAACTGCAATCTGTGGCTAACTGCGCAGAAGTCTACATCAGTAGATTTCTCCTCACCTCCCACTTGTGCAAAATAAACACCATGCAGAAAGAACTGCTTAGGAATCCTCTCATTTGTGAAGAAGTAGCAGCGTACAGAAATGTTCCCCTTGACTCTGCCTAAGACTCCCCACTGCAGCACATAAGACACAAGTTTTAACAAGCTAAATCCAAAATTAGACACACTTATCCTATTACGCGGCTGTTTCCTAACATTCATCCTGCACACAAAGCTGTGAGGGCAGTCAGGGCTATTTTCCCAATCCTGGACCAAAACTTGGACTCTCACATTTGGACACTCCTTTCCTTTGTTCAGCATACCATGCTGCTGTTTCTCCCCTCTTCTCTTCTACCTTTCCCAGTCTCTTTCTTTACAAGCCACAAATAAACCATCCCTGGACTTATAAAGCCAAAGCCAAACCACTCCTAGACTCCCTTCCCACCTTCTTTTTACAAGCCTTGCATCCCATTCTGTACCTCAGCAACCAGCTTTACCTCTTTTTCTTTTTTCAAAAAAGCCCTCTTGGCCTTTACTTTGCAGGTCTCAAGATCTTTAAATGCTGCTACCTCCAGGGCTTTCATAAGCCCAGCAGCACATATGCCTCGCATGTATGAATTTTGAGTTGGATAGCAATCACCAACAGGCAAGTGACAATGACAATACAGGAGCCATAAAAAATAGGACCTACAGAGGAAGCCCTTGCAATTGGAAGCACAGACACCCTGAAAGGCAAAATAATGTTGAGGCAAGCTAAGAAAAAGTCCCCTCTGGCTTCAGCACCATAGCTGCTTCGTAGCAGCCTTTTCCTACTTCTAGTCTGTGGTCCCGGTTAATGTTCAAATTAGACAAATAGAGATTACCGTGAGAACTAAGCCAAATAACACACTGTTCAATAACTGGGGAACTCCTTTGGCAGGGGACACATTACACAGGAATTTCCAAGAGCCACAGAAATGGGAGAGGGGAAAACAGAAACACAAAGGGAACGTTGTGAAGGGGAGGCAGTGGGCAGGTTACTGGAGGGCTGCAGGGAGCAATATGCTGATGTAGGAAGTTGCACATTACTCGTGTTTTAGCCCTCAAAAGCAACCAGAACTTTGGATCTTATTTGAAAAGTTAAAATTTCATGCATTAGCTCTTGCTGGCCTCCATAGTGCATTAAGCTGTTTTACAATTCCCTGAAAATTTTAACAGTTCTTTGGGATCTCTCAAAATACCTTAACAACCTTTGGGCACAAGAGTACACTTAACCACGCATAAATATATCATTCAACCAAAACTTACAAATACTAAAACTAGAAGAATACTAATTGGGAATGGGATACATTATCTACTAGGTATTACAAGTTAAAGTTTCTCGCTTCAACATAAATACTTTATGAGAAATACAGAAACAGTAATGATGACAAATAAATCCAGGGCCCCATCATGTTGCAGAGGAAAGAGCAAAACTTTTTTTTTTCCTTTTTTTTCTTAAGTAAATGCTCCTTCGTTTTCCACATTTCCCTGTAATGCATTTGAGCAAGTTTGCAGTCCTCACTTCAAAGATGATATAATTTTCCCAAGCCTTTTCCTCAAGAGGTGTGTGGTTTGTGTTACAGTTTACTTAAAAGCAAAGACTTGGAATCAAACCCTGGCAAACACAGTTACACACTTCTCGAAATGTAACGCTGGGTTTTTTCTGGTTTGGGAGGTTTATATTTGTCAACTGTTTCAATAGTTTAAAAAGTATGTCACATCGTATAGTGCCACCTAGTTTCTAATCAAAAGGTTACTACCAGGTAGCAGAGCTCAATCTGCTTTCGCAGATAGTGATCTTGAAACATGTCCTTTAATATTTCAAGAATATAAAAACAGGAGGAAGGATTCAGTGTGCTCAAACTCACCCTTTTGTTGTTCTCTTCTTCTTGTGCCTTCCTAAACTCGTGTTCTAGGGAGCAATCGATGTCGTTGAAGAGGCCCACTTCCTCACAGTTCTTCAGAAAGCGTGTTGGTGTAGGAGTCTGATCTGAGAATATGACAAGAAATGATCATAGGTATTTAATACTAAAAGGAGGAGGAGACAATTATATTGCCTTCCAGGGACAGAGAGGCTCTAGATAACCTCTCCACCCCTACCACACCATCATTAAAAACGAACCACACAGCACTGAATTTCAACACAATGCACTGCAGACAGCCAGTGTTTGCCAGCAGTGTCCGAAAACACACAGCACTGTTCATCATTCAACCAGAAAGACAACAGGCCAGATTTTCACAAGGCACATAACAGAAGTGCATAACCTTAAAGTGTGCAAGTGGTCATTGTAATTGATTATAAACCTTCAACAATAGGTGCATGCAAAACAATGAACAGTGCGTATCACAAATCACATTTACATCACAGCACACAGGTAACTGCTGCAGATACACGTTAGTTAACACCTCCAAGTGCTTGAAAACCACCCCAAACATACACATTCTTTGCAAAACCCATGAAGTTAGCCACAGTGAGAAGTCTGCTTCTAGCAGAGTTTTTGAAAGAATTAAATGACATTTAGAAAAACCTATGAAATGTTAAACTTTGACCACAAAGAAGCATCCTTATGTGTTTTATACCTCAAAGTGTAATACACGTAAGCCAAGAGATTTGGAGTCAAAATATTTTTAATGCATGCCTTCATCTCTAGGAACTCTTTTGCCTTCTCAGGAATAATGTGGGGAAGGACAGTATTCTCTAACACCAGGCAGCAGAGACTCAAGAAAGCACAAGGTTTTCCCCCCACCTCTTCAAAAACCTGTCAGATAGATGAGCTACATTGCCCTGTGGACTGTATTTTCAGTGATGACCTTGGTCCTTCTTCAGGGACTGAAAGTTCAAGACCGAACTTGGGAACTCCTGAAAAGTCAGCTCTGAGGCACCTCCATTCGTTCTTAGGCAAGTTCTTAACTATTCCACCTCACCTTTCCCATCTCCCCCTCAAAATTACAGTACAGAGCCATATTAGCAGAAGCAGGGGAAAGTATACATGATCCTATCAGCTTTACACACATTTAAAAAAAAAGATAATAAAAACCTCTTTTCTTACCTGTTGGTTCCTTTTTCCCAAGCCCCCATTCCAGCTCAAGCTGCTTTGTGCCTAATTTTATGGGAAGATTGGATTCACTCTCTTCAAAAATAATCTGCACAATCATTGACAACTACCCTATTGTTTGAAATTCATTCTTCACAGAATGAAAACTCTGTCGTACTAATCCCAGTGGCCCATGTTGGGCCAATTCTGACCTCAGAAAAAAAAAATTAAAAAAAAAATTCTTCCCACTTCATTGAGTTTGAGAAGAAAAAATTGGTTTCTTGCACCTAGCTAAGCTGGGTCAAGTTCTAATGTTTCTCCCTCGATCAGCATAGAAACACACAGCAAGCCCTAAACAAAAGGCAGCACAAAAGCAGCGCATACAAATAGAAATGCAGTTTTCACTTGGAAACTAAGAGGGAACATCAGCCTCCTCCATTATAAAACCACCTGTGTCAGGTGTGGCCCTGCAGTTTTGAGCTTCTCAAGTAATCAATGGGCAGACACATCCATTTGCATTTATATTCCTGATGGAACATATTGGTGTAACATAAAAAGCAAGTCCTTAAAGTTAAAATTCTGCTTTATTTCTTTTGGCTTGAGCATCCTACGTGTGAGCTTAAGGGAAACAAAACTCAAGTGTTTGGGAATGCACACATATTTATCTATTAGTTTTCACAGCTAACTACTGTGTTACCAGAGTCAGAAACATAAGACTTTCCAAGAATCTTGAAAGAACTTAGCACAAGGAGCTGAGTCAAGGAGGTGCTGACATTGATGGGAGCTGAGGACACTCAGCACGTCACAGGTTCATATACTAAACAAAGTAGCGCCAAACCAGTCTCTAGGGTAACCTCACTGAACTCAGTAGATTTACACCAGGGTTGTGTTGGCCTTTGGACTGGAGTTTGTGCTGGAAATAAAGTGCACTAAAAAAGCAGGAGAAATATATTTGATTTCCAAAAAGGATTAAATATTACTTTAGTGAGCAACGCAACTATTTTGTAGGAAAACCAAGAGAATCATTGCCAAGTTTCCCTGGACATAAAGGGTTTGTTAGTATTTGAATGACAGGCAAATACAGGAAACGTTTTATTTTTCAAAGTGGTATATCCATATCAAATAAGCAAGGTACCAATTTCATCACCAAAATGAGAAACCAGGTTTTCATTAAAAAGTTGATGGCACCACTTTCACTGAAATCAAAAATCCTATTTTTTTTCCAGAGTCGAAAATCTGGGGACAGAGCAGAAGAGAAGACACTAACATAGAAGAGGTTTTGTTATTTTCCATCAAGGTACACAGCTGATAGAGAAATTAAGCATTACTACAACAGCTATATTAGCTCAGAAGCATCTTAATGGGTAACAAGGTGGTGCTCAGGCACATGTAGCTGAAGTTCCAGATCTGTTCAGCATCTATTTCATGAATGTTAGACAGACAAAAATAATCTCAGTGAAGTAGCAGTGAAAACAAGCAACCCAGAGCACAAATGTGACTTCAAATGCACAAAGGCCCCATCAGCTTTTTCTGTACATGGTGAAAGTATATCTTCTGCACTAAAAGCAGTCTGAGATAATCAAATGTGTTGCCTACAGCTGATCTTTCCAATCCACTACTTTATTATCTAAAAGCATCAACACTGATAGATTAATGACACCTTTTACACCACCTACATATTGACATGGTGATCTTAAATTACTACCTCAGTCTCCCCATATGGTTACTATAGTTTCTATGATCCAGAATGCAGTGACAGGTATTCACAAGCAGATTTTGTTAAAACAGGCAGCCCCCCTTTCCTCCCAGTCAGGAAGGGAACACACCACCAACCACCTGGCCTAAACCCCATTCACAGATCTCCTGGAAGCCAGCTCAGTCAGATGCAAAACAAGAGCTGCCTTTCTACTTTAAAATACTTCATCCTTCAACATCCACAGAAACCACCTTCCACAACCACAGAACTTCTTTGTTGTATGAGAGCAGAACTGATAAAGATCCAGACTTTCAAACATTGAGACTTTACATATTACAGTAGTTATACTGCAAATACACTACACTTGCTGATTTCAGGACTGTAGGGCTACCAAGTCCAGTGAGCTTTCTTTGCTCCTCAGGAAACCAGCTATTTTGCCTCTGCAAAACACTAATTCTCCTTCAGGAGGTGAGCAAAGGGGTAGCAGAATACATTACTCTCAACATCACAGTAACCCTTTAACCTACATTAGGCAAGCCTTTGTGGTTTAACTGAGAACAGTATCACAAAGGAGACCCTAGCATAAGTTGCATATTCAGGTCTCCCAGAATTAATAAAATATTCCTAATTCTCAGCACTTAAAAATGCATTAATAGTTCCAACAGCTTGTGCCTGACCTCAGTGCTCCCTGTTGGTACAAACAAACCTTTTGTTGCTATCACCAGCGCCCACAACTATTGCAGGCTCACTGAGAACAGGGCTCTGATTTGTTGTACTTCAGAAACTGAATATGACAAACGCAACTGGACCAAAACTCAGACAGATCTAGCACCGTGCTCAGCATTCCTGCTGAGGACACGCATTGCTGTAAGAAGCTGTCCTGCACGCACACTCTTATCCATACAACCCAGCACTTCTAATGTCACAAGCTGCATTTTGGACTGGGCAGCTTGGGATAAAGGTCTGTCTGGGTTAACCCTAGGTATCTGGCTGTTATACTGACCAGCCATTCCAACCCAGTCCCGTACTTCAACATGAAAAAATCTCTCCATCCCCAACTGCTGTTATGCTTTGAGGTATCTACCTTTAGCCAGCTGTCACTTCCGAAGTGAAACTGTGTCATCTGACAATTACTTAGGAAGTTAACATGGATCTTGCCTTTAGCACCAAGTTGAACACAGAGCCTGTCAAGCTTCAGACTACGCAATATATACTCTCTTCAGCCTATTATTTAGGTAAATAATTTGCCTCTCTAATGACACAGTCATGTCCAGAAAGGCTGCAAGAAACATTGAGCTTAAATAAACATCAATAATGTAAATAGATAACATGAAAGACCCAGAGCAAGATCAAATGATCTCACCTGTGCAGATCACAAGTTAACCTACTGTATCTTATAAGAGAGGATTTCAGAAGCACTCAGCAACCAGATTCTGACCAGAATCTGATATATTGAGTGCATTTTGGCTGCTGACTGTTTTGAGAACCTGTTCTCAATGTCTGAAGTGATGCCTGATCTTCTAGACCAGTTGAAAAATGTATGTTGTAAGGCAATGGGAATTTGAAGTCTTCAGTAAAGTAAAAAGATTCCATTATATACTCATTATGATTGGTGTTGCATGGGGGTTTCATTGTACTTTCGGGGGGGGGGGGGGGGGGGGGGGGGTAATTACAGACATAATAGCCTCAGAAAGGACAATTAATCTCAATATAGTGCTTTGAAAACAACAGCTCAGGAAATGCAACATTAGCTTGCTATAGAGAGAGTTTATTTGAATCATCTAGAATGCATTTTGTAAAACTAGCTTGGATCCTAGAATTTAATCCCTCAAAGCACAAATGAAAACATTAATGCATGATACCAGTTAAAAGTCCCTGGAGAACCAAAAGACAGTTATGTGAAGTCAGCTTTGATTTAAAAAAAAGAAAAATAGTATTCCAATTCAGTAAAAGCTACCCAACAGCACAGCTCCACAGTGTGTAATTTGATTCTTCTTCTTTCAAAAGAAAAGTTTAGTCTGATGTGCAGTAATAACAGGCATTTGGCTTGTTCAGCTGCGGGCTCTGTTGAAGTTCTATACTTACCCATGTTATATTTTCGTACAACGAAAACAAAGTCAGAGCAATAGGGCTAGCACTGAAATTTGCAGGGCTGCCCATCAAGGAGCCACAAGGAAAAAAGAATGCCCTGAGAATTTCTTTATTAATTTGACAGGTTACTGTCCAAGATCACCCAGAATCTCAAGGTCACAACACCTCAAGCAGGTGATGGAAGAGGAGATGAGTAAGAGGCGCACCTAATTGTACCTGGTGGAACTGCCCTCACCCGGGGGCTCACAAATGAGCTTAAAGATGCGCTGTTTGAAGTGCCGGTTGGACTTCTTCTGGGGCTACACATACTGAGTCCTACACATCCATAATGTCTTCTGGTTACTCAGAACCTGACCAGTTGCATTTTAGAAGCAAACAAGAAATCAAACAAAATTATTTGTCCTTATATCCAATCATTTTGCATTCCACAAAATTCATGCCTAGATAAACCTCCCTGAGTAAACCACAAGAAGGAAAAAGTTTAGTGAACTAAGGATTATGTATGTTACCTCACTGAAACAAGCATTGCCTGGGAAAAGTAATACATTTGCACTACTTCTAGCACACATACTTTTTCATCTAGAGAAGGATGTTTCTATCATCTCCACTGCTTTACCACCAAAAATCTAGATTGGTCTGGCTTTCAGTAAATAGTACCGTGAAAAAACAAGGTTTCTTTACAGATAATTCTGCATCTGCTAGCAGCACTTTTGGAAGGACTTCCCCCGCTCCAACAATGGTATAGCTTCACCCCTTCCCAAACTTGATACCACAGGAATTCCAATATCCGCAGCTCCCAAAGTTCAGTTCTGTGTGGCTTTTAATACTTACCTGGAAAAGAACAATCTGTCCCACAGGCATTAACACATTATTTCAGTGTTAAAACAAAAAAGTTTTGACACACAATGTATTACAGAGTTTCAAAGCAATGCAATCTTCAGTTAGTACAACAGCAAAAATATTACATTTATGTCATCAACCTAGCTACAAAGTTTCCTGCAATGATGACTAGCATGCAAAACTTACAGAAGATATTCTGTGTTATCTGAAACAGCCCTTTTTTGGCTAGGAAAGATGGAAATGGAAACCATCAGTGACTCTCTATCCATACCTGTATCAAGACTTTCTAACAAGCAAAAAAAAAAAAAATATATATATATACAAGCACAAAAAAAAGGAACAAATAACATTAATTCCAAAAAAAAAGAGAAAAAAAGAGAAAAAAGTGTCAAATTACCCAATCAAAAAATCGCTTGCATTTTAATGAAATGCCTTCAGGAGACTTCCCTTCCATTTATATAAAGAACAGAAAGCTCTTCAGTGTATGCAGGTACCTGGAGTATCTGAATTAGTCCTAGAGTCACCAGATGTAATAAAACTTATTCTTCTTCAGACAGCATGAAAAGAATGGAAGAAAATATAGTGGAGCTAATTTATAACAAGGCAACTCTTGGGTAGACATACCTGATAAAGCAGCATAACACCAATAGTTTCAATCGGATTACAGAATCATGTTTATTAAACGTTAACGCTCCCTACCTAACATGTAACTTTACATATGATATAACTTTGCCTCTCACTTATGAATTGGTATTTCAGACCTCAGCACAGCTTTCACACAAGAAACAAGTTGCTACTTCCAAAGTAGTATTTTGCTTAGTTGCTAAGACATTGGTACAAGACCAACAGACCCTCAGTTTTAGCGCCTACCTCCAGTAATAGTTTATAGAAGATATGCTTAAGTGTGTGTTACATATTACTGATATTATGCTGATTCCAGACTGGAAACAGAGTAGATCATTCTAATGGTCACCTGAATGCATACAGCCCACTGTTTTGCATAATTACTAATAATGACTGGATAAAACACAACACATTAAGAGATAGGATGCAACATACTGGAGAAAAGGAGAAAGTCTGGCTGCTAGGCAGCCTAAGGAAAAGAGGGTTAAAAAACACAGTGCTAACACAGCACCTGGTTTATTACAGGGCAATTGCTGCTGCAATTCTTTGAACCTACTGATGACAGAAAAAAATAAAAATAATAAAGTCAAATAAGCAAAAATGCAAAAAACAAGAAGGAAGACATGAAGACAAATGTCTAAGAGAAAAGTCTGTCTCTTTTCCCCATATATCATTAATTTTTCATTATGAAATCCAAGAATAAAACATCTTAAACTTTAAGGTATTTAGATTTCCCCAGGGTTTTGGTGGGTAATGAAACAACTATTTTTCAATGTCTCCCTGCAGAGAGCAGATGATCTATGATGCTTCCAAACTAAGGACTGCAAAATGCCAAACAAATCCACGAAACAAACACAGGAAGAAAAATCAATGCATGGCAATACCAGGTTCCAAGCCATCGCAGTCAGATGTACTTGCAGCTTTTTACTCTCTTATTACTACAGAGGATTGTCATGCACAAAGCACAAAGAATACATCCATCAGGAGCAATCTTGGAGCCTTTCTGGTCACAAAATTCTGCATTTCTTTATACTTAGTTAGTTAACTCTGGGTCTAGGGACTCCAGTAATGGTCATAGTGGTGGAAGCCAGTCAAAGCCTTTTGCCTGGGAAAGCAACCCATTGGAATGAGCAGGACAGCTAAATCATAGCAGTTGTCAAACATAAACAGAGTATTCTACCCAGGGGACTCCTGATGACAGAACATATTCCTTAGAAACTGCCCCGAGCAAAAGCCTTGCCAAACAGAAAGCTGTAACAAAAGCCAGCACTTTCACAGGGTGAATGTGCCCACAGCATAGATGTCTTCAAGCAGTTTCACTGCCAGAGGACATGACCAAGTGCAAGAGCAGCATTTTCTCACTTTTGCTTGCAAATGCAGGATTCTGTGGGCATAGCTGGCCCACAGGTGATTTACAAGCCCTACTCTTTGATGTGCTGTGTACCGTCCTTTCCTAAACTTAGTCCACTATGGCATTTATAAGTGTAAGAGAGAAATAAATTCTATCTGGGACAAGGTCTGTTTGATTTCTCAGTGGTTCTTAAAGTCCCAATTAAAAAAAATACACACACAAAAAAAAAAAAACCCAACCCAAATATGTGCAAGCCATTGATACACAATTAAAATTTCAACTAAAATGGAAGTTGTTTATCCATAAAAGAGTTAGTCTGCTGGAGACCCTTTAGTCATCATGTACTTTCACTTAAAATGGCACAATTTACCTTGAAGAAGCCCATTTCGAAAGATAAGTATCAAACACTGGTTAACATATGTACATTTGCATCATAGGTTTTTTCTACAATTACTTTGAAACCTGAAAAATCCCAGTGATATTATTCTTAATATTACTACAGCCCAAAGAATATACACAGGAAAAGGAATAAGAGAGGAGAGAAGCAGTGAGATTAAGGCTAGCTTGACTTTTCCCAGCACTTTCCAAACGCCAGCAAGCCAGTGATGTGTGGCTACTCAGAAAAGAGCACAAAAAGACTATATAAGAAAAACCTACATAAGAAACTGAAAGATGTAATTACACATACTACCAAATAACCTCTGTGTATAATGAGGGAAGTACAGGGAGAGTTAGTTACCTTTAGAGGAAAAGTATTGGATATTACCCACTGGTTAACCTTTCTGGTTATGGCTATTTACAGGGGGCAGGTCTTAAGCCACAATAAAGGTGGCTCATATGATGTGGCCTATTACAGTTGCTGAAGTGAGCCTGTCAAACTTAAGTAGCTAGTCTTGTAGGAACAGTACAAATGCACTTCATTAACACGGTCACTGCTGGGCTCCCAGGTGACATGTACTTAAGTGCCTATATTTCACTGGCATGTTGACACGGGAGTCAGTGATAGAGCTGCCAGCATGGCTGAGGTTCAGCAATGAGAATTCTCTCCCTCTCATGCCAAACCTGTGGGAAGACATAAGAATGGCAACTGTCTTTTTGTTCAGAGATAGGCATCCTAGTTTATTCCATCTCTACTTGTTATTTAATTGGAGCTGAGGCTTTTTAAAACCAATCTTGGTGGTATTTGGCCAGTAGCTTTCCAGTAGGAGTCATGCTTTCAACATCATCTAAATAGTTATCTTGACTCTTGAATTCACGTCTTCTTACCTGATAACATATTATCTGTTTTTATTGAAGGAAACTTCAAAGTCATTTCATGTTTGTGCCTGTGAATCATCAGATGATCCTCTGTTGGAAAACGCTGTCAGGCAAACAGAAAGAGAGAGAAAGAGGAAGAGAGAAAAAAAAAGGAAAAAAACAAAGAAGAATTTAATTCTCTAATAAACTTTTGGCATTGGACAGAATTTAAAAATGAGAGAGAGAAAGAAATGTATCCAGCTAGAAATGTGTCCAAATGGCACCAGGAACAGAATATTTGAAAATGCAAGTGAGCATGAGTAACAAATCACTGTACTCTACTTAGAAATTTATTTGCTGCAGTGCTCTATGAGGTTGCAAACTGCAAGGTGTCATGCATTTGCCTGAAAAGGTTGCAGACCAAGTTTTGAATTCTAAGGGTCTCAAACACCCGCTCCAGCTACCACCGGCTCACAAGTCACCACGTGCCTGAGGATCTGTGATAACTGCTGTTGTATATGCTATTAGCCCACGGCAAAAGCAAAGTAATGCAGCATATCTTAAATCACTTTACTGGATTTTTCTGCTTTTGTGTCTTTCTGCAATCTGTAGCTGCTGAACAGCAATAAAAATAATCAAGCCAGCTTTTCCCTACACAAAAGTATTCAGGCAAAATGCATCTTTTGGAAACCTCTGACACTTTGACTTGATTCAAAGTGGCAGTGCAACGATGCTCAGGACACAACAGCTACTTATGACCCTTTATGATACTAAATGAAATTCTTTTCCTTTGTCAAGCAGAGAAGGTGAAGAGATGTGCTTTGCAAGAAACTAATCAGTGTGCTAAGTTTGTTTTACAGTCTGATAACAATGAATAGCTTCTTTTGAATAACACAAAGGGACAAGCTTGAATAAATGTTCAAGCACTTGGGCTCAAGGAGCAGACTGGTTCTGTTAGGTTTCCTTCACCAGGAGGTGCATACACAGACCTCCCCTCTGTAACGCTTTTAGCAAGGTTATTTCAGGAGTAGCAAAAGGCCAAAAATTGTATCACCAAAGCTTCAGGGGAAAAAAAAAAAAAAAATTAAAAGCAGCTTTTTAAAGCAACAGGTACACGTGAGGCTGTAGAAAACTGGCAACAACAGAGTTAAAGTGACTTAATGCTTTCAACACAGTATGTTCTTGGCTCAGTGAATTTGCTTGTGGCCATAGTATAAATAGTTGCAGTATGTTACACCTTCTGAAAATCTCTCTAAGCCCATAGACAAAGAAGTATAAATAATGGGAATGAATACTCTGGAAAAAAAAAATAAAATAAAATCCCAAAGACCTTTTCCTCACTGTGAAATCCTCATTCATTGCTTACTCATCTGGAAGAAATGCAGCACTAGAAATTTATGTTAAGAACAAAAGGAATATGTGAAAGACCTTGCTCAATGAAATTGTGAGGGGAAAAAAATACCCATGTTTTGTTCTTGTGGAAATGGATTTTTCCTTCACAGATGCCACACTCTGTCTTCAGGGTGAAATCAGCCAGCTTCAAAGACAGCATGGGGCAACTGAGGAGAAGCTGTTCCTCTAGCCCAGACTCTTTTCTGCAAGTCTGCTTTCTCCCCTATGCAGAAGGTCAGTTTCCTCAGCCCTCAGTACGCATCTGCACTGGCTGATAGAGAAGCCAGTCACCAGACAGCTTAGTTCGATAGCAGCACTACACTGTGCACTTCTGTGAAGTCCTCATTTACAATAAATGGAGGCCATGTCTTGAAATGAGAAATTATTATTTTCACCTACACTTCTTGTCCCTCCAAATTGTACCAGCATACAACCATTCCTCTTTTCTGAACACCTAAATGAACTTGCTTGGATCAGCTTCTCCTCCATTGAGGAAATTGGTAGCTGCCATGAAAACACCCAAGATCACTGATTTGAGTGGAAGTTTGATTTAAGATTCAACAAAAAGGTAAATAAAACTTGACTATAAAACTCAGATACTTTTATTCTACCTCTGTGACAGAACAGTGAAAGTTTAATTCTGCGTGTCAAGATCTGAAGTGACAAATCTTCAATTAAAAGGACAGTCCAAAAGATGCACTCTAATGTAAAGCTTCCCAGCCAGTTGTTACCCAGACCTCAGGCTTCTCCCTTTCCTTTTTTCAGCTCTTGGCAAAATCAGGATCTAAACTCCAGTAACAACCACCTATAATTCCACCAGAAGAACCTAAAGTCTTGTAAAAATATGAGCCAGCTGAAAACTCCCAACATACCTTTAAAGCAGGGAAATATTACCCTCATTATGAGAGGAGGGCTCTGGGAAATGGGTAGGCTAAATCACTTGAATCAGATGCATACAGGAAGCCTGTGGCAAAAAGCCCAAAAGAAGCCCTTGCCTGAAGATTTTATTCACAAACTCGTCACTTATCTGAATTAGGGAGAGAAGTGCCACATGTGGAACTTCCTTCATCGCTGCAGGGGGGAAACTTCCCTCACCACTGCAAAACCACTGAAACAACACACAAATCCCAATTCAAAATCTTAGCAGGTAAATCCTTGTCAATTCAGGTTTTTAAGATCATTAAACATCTACTGTTACAAGTCAGATTATAGCCTCAGAGACACATGGCACATCACCAGTCAACAGGAATCCCAAATGTACATGCTGGGGCAGAATTTATCTACAGGCTGCATTTTCTCTACAGAATATTTTGTAAGGAGATGTCAGAAAGAAAAAAAAAAAGGGGGGGTGGCTAATAAGGAATTGTATTTAAGTATTTAAACAAACACAAAAAGAAAAAGCAGGAGGGTTACCACATCCAATAAGAAACATACTGTATTCCATCATACATCTAAGTAGAAGACAAACAAATGTGCCCTGTCTAGTGTGTCCTCTCTTTCCCTCTTGCTAACCACTAAAAGAATTTGCAATATCTGTCTTGAAACATCAGGCCTGGGGATGAGGGAAGGCACAGAGGCAGCTGGAGAAGTACTTCTACCAACTCACTTTTGACTATCTATCTGCTGTATTCGCTTTAAATATTTTGTAATAATACCTTGTAGGGTAAAGGAGGGAATGGGGGGGGGGAGAAAGGGGGAAGACTTGAAAAAAAATCCCAACACACACATTATTATTAGACATGTGTTAATATATCAGGAGGCATTATACAAGCCAGAGCTAGTGCTGAGGACTCAATTAATATCACCGCTGACTCCACTCACCTGTGAGCAGCCTGGGGCACTGCAGACAAAAGGCCTCTCCTGCTCCAAGTTCATCTTTGATTCCTCATAAATCTACATGTTAAAAGGGGGAGGGGGAAAGAAAGGGAACCTATGAATATATACGTTCTAAACTTCACACATACATGCAACATACAATTGTCACAGTTTGTGCTTTGATTTCAAACTCCCCAAACAGACCAAAACAAAGTTTTCATCCTTGGAGTACTAAATCTGCTAATATTCAGCAGGCTCCCTGCAGTCTCAGTTCTTATTACTTCTTCCTGAGCACATATTTACTTTGAAGGAAGGAAAAAAAAAGAAAACCCACCCTATTAGGCTTTCACAGCAGAAATCTGCCTCCGAAAAAAAACATATGTTCAGTGTTGTTATTAGATAAGACCGTGTCTGCTCAGAAATATCTCAGATTAAGGGTTTTTACCTTTCCTCCTTCCGTTCCTGCTTCACTTTTTGTGGTTCTTCGTCTATACTGTTTGATATTAATAACTTCAGCACATTACATACATGCTCTCTATACACACAAGATAGCTCTTCATCCCCATCCTTTAAAAGGTCAACTAGAGCCTCAGGAGCTTGAAAAATGAAGTTTTGCCTAAAACTTCAGCTTCCCAATGGCAATTCCAGCCCTGTAACCTTGTGCTAAAGCCTGGGGGAGAACTCCCAGGTCCCAAATGAAACCCAAGGAGGAAACATTCACCCTCTGAATGCATTAACACAGCTGAATTGGTGTCCATATTATGGCAGTGCCCCTAACCAGCATCAACAAAATCATTTTTTAGTAACATTTCAGGATGTAAAATAAAAAAGTCACTTCTTTCAGAAATGTTTTGAGCCTGTTGGTACAAGTGGTTTTACAAGCTAGAACATAGCAACTGACCTACCTTAGTGCATAACATATGACTTCTGCATTATGCCTCTAAATTCCCTTAAAATTCAGCCTCTCTGCAGCCCCACTTACTCAAATGCCTGAGTTGTGTTTGTGTTATTTTTTCATAAAACAAATACCTTGGTGGGAAGCAGAACTTGGTTTTAAAACTACAAAAAATTGGCAGGACAAGTGCTAAAATTACTTGACCCTGTTGTCATTTTTGTAAAACTACAGTTCATTACTTCCTATTATCAAGAATACCTCATCACACTTATACCTGTTCAAAAAGCTATAATTTCAGAAAAGTTGCTACAGATACCTGCAAATGGAGAGGAGAGGGAAAGGAAAGGGGAGAGGAAGGGGGAGAGGAAAGGGGAGAGGAAAGGGGAGAGGAAAGGGGAGAGGAAAGGGGAGAGGAAAGGGGAGAGGAAAGGGGAGAGGAAAGGGGAGAGGAAAGGGGAGAGGAAAGGGGAGAGGAAAGGGGAGAGGAAAGGAGAAAAGGGAAAGGAAAGGGGGGAGAGGAAAGGGGAAAGGAAAGGGGAAGGAAAGGGGAAAGGAAAGGGGAGAAAAGGAAAGGGGGGAAAGGAAAGGGGAGAGGAAAGGGGAAAAAGGGGAAAGGAAAGGGGAGAGGAAAGGGGAGAGGAAAGGAAAGGAAAGGGGAGAGGAAAGGGGAAGGAAAGGAAGAGGAAAGGAAGGAAAGGAAAGGAAAGGGGAAAGGAAAGAGGAAAGGAAAGGAAAGGAAAGGAAAGGAAAGGAAAGGAAAGGAAAGGAAAGGAAAGGAAAGGAAAGGAAAGGAAAGGAAAGGAAAGGAAAGGAAAGGAAAGGAAAGGAAAGGAAAGGAAAGGAAAGGAAAGGAAAGGAAAGGAAAGGAAAGGAAAGGAAAGGAAAGGAAAGGAAAGGAAAGGAAAGGAAAGGAAAGGAAAGGAAAGGAAAGGAAAGGAAAGGAAAGGAAAGGAAAGGAAAGGAAAGGAAAGGCAGCAGAGCACAGAGCACCCTTTACCTGACTCTGCTGACTCCCAAAAGCAGCATCCAGAAATTAAGAATTTCTATTTTTATTTGCCCTTTAACTTCCACAAGGACACTACCCCCTAAAGGCAATAATTAGCCTCAACTGATTTTTTTGCTGTGGACATCTCTACTAACATCTGGCCTGAGACAAGTGATTTATTGCACCAAATACAATCAAATGTCAAGAAAGACCCTAAGTCAGGATTAACTTATCTATCTACACAAGGCTAGAACTGAAATAACTAAAATTGTACCAATTTACTCCTGTAAGATTATTCATATCCTGTTTTGATTAAACCTACAGCTATGTTAAACTGAAATAGGATACTCAGAAATGAAAGACTATGCTCGCATAAAGTCTTATACTAAAATAACTAAAGGTGTTAAATTACTTCTAATTTCAGTTATTTCAGTTCCAGACTGTGCTTAGACAAGCTCTTCAGAGGTGAAGCAATAAAAATGCTCTGAACTATGCTATCCTGTCTGAAAGAAACACAAGCAGCAGAGAGATAACTGACTAAACAAACAAATCTCTGCAAAAACAAAACCAAAACCTCCAGTTAAGTTTGATTTTTAAATCCACCTCTGTTTATGGGATGTGACCCTGGAATGTTGTCTTTCCTAAAGACCTTCTCGCAGAAGAAAGGAGGGGAAAAAAAGCTATGTGTGGATAATGAAAGGCTTTATCTGATATCTCAATTACTCCTGCAACTGAAGCACTGCCAAAGGTTTCTGTTACCCTTTTTTCCCCTCCTCAGGGGAGAGTGACAACTGCATTTTCATAGCAGAACAACAGATGAGACTCAGTTAAAGAAAACAAGATAACAACAATTCTGGTCCCAAGTGTCTAAGTGAATTTCAAAACATTACCAGGAATTATTTGATGTTTGTTTTCTTATTGAGTATTGCAAGTCTAAGACTTCCCTCCCTGCCCTGAGCTTGGGTTTTAGTCCCTAAATCCATTAGTGCATGCTCTGAAAACAAATGATTCTCAAGGTTATCTAGATAGATAAGCATGGACTAAGCACCAAAACAACATACTCGATGAGGACTAGAATCTTGAGCATGGGGCTTGACTCCAGGAAAACATGGACTTGGGCTTTATTCACAGTGCTCTGAAAAGGTGTCAGATTCACTGTCTAGTCGTTTACCACAAATGTACAAGCAACTGCTGGATCCCACGAGAATCATTCTTTGCAGGCAATTTGCAGACACTAAACTTAAAAAAAAAATAAAACAAGAAAAGAAGTAATAATCCAGAATGGCTGTATCATGTGTGCCCTCCAGGATACTCTCTAGCATAACTTGACCTATATAACATGTTACCAGACAGTACAATGCCCTTCAAGAGAAATTGCACCATGCAGAATTCATATTTACATGTGATGCTATCACTGCAGTTGTGACTGTAGCACTGCTGACTCTCTTACAATAGAGAGTGAAAGAAGCTGCCTTCTGCCTACAAGTTTTTTGGAGGGTGTCTGGTGCTTGGCTATCTTATGGCAGTAATTCAAGCTTTAGGGTTGAATGTTGACTAGAAACAAGCAGCTGAAACAAGCTAGAAACAAGCTGTGTGACCCTCCTGCATCCCCCATTCCTGCTGAACTTCACAAGAGCTGCAGATGCAGATGTAGTGATAGGACAAGGGGTAACAGGTTAAAACTTAAACAGGGGAAGTTTAGATTGGATATAATGAAGTTCTTTCCTGTTTGGGTGGTGAGGCACTGGAATGGGTTGCCCAGGGAAGCTGTGAATGCTCCATCCCTGGCAGTGTTCAAGGCCAGCTTGGATCAAGCCTTGGGTGACATGGTTTAGTGGGAGGTGTTCTTGTCCATGGCAGGGGGGGTGGAATTAGATGACCTTAAGGTGCTCTCCAACCCTAACTATCCTGTGATTCTATGATTCTATAATTCTATGCACAAGCAATACAGGATCTCACCCTAGATTTGCAGCAGGATGGGAGCACTCAGCAACAGAGGTGTTTTGGTTGCGCATAGCACAGTTTGCACAGCATCCTTTTCGAGAGGCAGGCATGCAGCTCCCATCCTTCAGTTCAGGATATAGACAGTTGCACACTGCCTCTGGCACATAGTTGACTTCACACAGCTCATGCATTGCTGGGCCACACAACCCATGTCTCATTTTTCCACAGTATGTGCAGGTGGTTCAGCCTGCATGAAGGAAGTAGCGCAACCAGTGGCAGCATTTTGACTTCACCTAATAAAAATAAATCAAAGCAGCCTTTCCATCTAAAGTAAAGTGCTTATTAACCTTTGTGATCTTAAAAATTCAAGTTACACTTGCACACCTCTCATGGTACTATATATGACTCCTGCAATTAATGTACATGAAGAGTATCAGGCAAATCTATGATGATTGAAAAGTTAAAAAATTGCTCACGCCTGAATTTTCTACTTCTGTTACCAATAGCTTAATTTATTGCAACTTTGTGACCTCTTCAAAGAACCAAACAAGGATTATAAATATAAGCGAGCACTAATATTGATATGTCAGCATTAGTTCTGATATTATTAACAATAGGCATGAGTGCATTATGCAGCAGAAAAGGAGGCTGAATTTTAATAGACATGTTAACAACATCTGTCAGCATTTATTGCTCTATTGCGACCACGTAAAGAGCCTTATTGGCAGAATGTGTAAGTGAGGAAATCGGCTACAATAGTGTAGCCTGCCATTCTCCTGAAATATCACTCTGCTCAGGAGAAGTCAAGGTATTCTAATTAGAAAAATACATAAACAAAAATGCAGAAGAAACATAGAAAGGCTTCTCCAAGCCATGTCACATGGAGGAGAAACAAGTAAGTTCTGCATCAAGCCAAATATTTTCTTCTATTCCTTGATTTCTGCATCAGATACTTGTAAACATTTTTAATAATAATTAATAAAACTGAAGTGCCCACAGCAAGGAATGGAGGAACAAAGAAAGAAAAAGAAAACAAAAGAAACAGAAAACCCCTCAGAACATAGAAACTGACTGCATTCCCTCTCAGCAGCACCCAGAGGGAAGTATCCCACGTCCTCAGGCTCCTTAAGGAGATTTTGCAGAGCCCCATGATCATCCTTTCTATATCAGAAAAATAGTTTTAACATCTACCACCAAGAAAGCATGCTCCTTTCTCTCTCACTCTGCCCCTTTTTAAACTCAGCAGTACTCTTA